GAGCCAAAACCAAGAACAGGACACTTAATTGTGTCACCCAGGTGCCCCTGGACAATCTGTTTTTGATCCTTGGCATTTGTTTTTTGTGTGCTTTTCTGCATCAATTAATCTAGCCTAAGATTTGTCAAATTCATTTTTCTTTTTCAAAGAACCAGCTTTTGCATTTTAATTTTACATATTTTCTATTTTGGTGATATCTACTTATAAATTTCTATCTTATACTTAAGGTTTAGTTCTTTTTTTTCGTAGTATTTTAAAATGGATTGTTAGGTCATTTGTTGTAGATATATTCTTATAAGAATTTATAAATTTCTATTGGAGCACCACTTTAGATATACTCCACAAATTTTGGTGTATAGTGTCATTCACTTTAAAATATTTTTAATTTCCTCATTATTTTATCTTTGACTTGTGAGTTAAAGTATGTTATTTAATTTCTAAGATACTTGAAGTTTTTCTGGATTTATTATAGATTTCTTAATTTTGTTATCAGAGAATATAGTGTGTATGATTTCAAGTCTCAAATTTATTTTTTTAGCTTTGTTTTATTGAAACACAATTGACATATACATTATATTAGTTTCAGGTGTACAACATAATGATTCAAAATTTGTATATATTGGGAAATGACCATCTCAGTAAGTCTACTTAACATCTGTCACCATACATATTTCCAATTTTTTTTTCTCCTGTTGTACTCTCTTGGCAACTTTCATATGTGTGGTACAATATTAACTACAGTCACCATGGTGCATATTATCCCCATGACTTACTTATTTTATAACTGGAAATTTGTACCTTTTTACCACCTTTCCCCACTTTGCACATGTTCCACCTCCTGACTCTGGCAACCTCCAATTTGTTAAGTGACCTTAGTTAAGATTCCACGTATAAGTGAGGTTGTGCTGTATTTGTCTTTCTCCATTTGACTTCTTTCACTTCACTTAATATTCTCTAAGTTCATCCATGTTGTCACAAATGGCAAGATTTCATTCTTTTTTATGGTTGAGTAATATTTGTGTGTGCGTGTATATGTATATGTATATATATATATATATACACACCACATTTTTTTTTAAAAAGATTTTTATTTATTTATTTGACAGAGAGAGATAGCGAGAGCAGGAACACAAGCAGGGGGAGTGGGAGAGGGAGAAGCAGGCTTCCTGCTGAGCAGGGAGCCCGATGTGGGACTCGATCCCAGGACCCTGGGATCATGACCTGAGCCGAAGGCAGACGCTTAATGACTGAGCCACCCAGGCGCCCGACACCACATTTTCTTTATCCATTCCTATATCAGTAAACAGGTTGCTTCCATACTTTGGCTATTGTAAATAATGCTGCAGTGAACGTGGGGATACATTATGTTTTTGAATTAGTGTTTTTGTTTTCTATGGGTAAATATCCGAAGCGGAATTGCTGGATTTTCTATTTTTATTTTTTTTGAAGAACCTTCAATACTGTGTTTCATAGTGGCTGTACCAGTTTACATTCTTTTTCTCCATATCCTTGTCAATGTTTGCTATTTTTTGTCTTTTTGATATACTAGCTATTTTGACTGGTGTGAAGTGATTTTCATTGTGGTTTTGATTTATATTTCTCTGATGCTTGAACGTTGAGCATATTTTCATGTGTCTTTTTGCCATCTGTATGTCTTCTTTGGAAAAATGTCTATTCAGGTTCTCTGACCATTTTTAATTGGATTTATTTTGGTGTTGAGTTGTAGAGTTCTTTATATATTTTAGATATTAACCCCTTATCAGTGTATCATTTTCAAATATCTTCTGTTTGGTAGGTTGTCTTTTAATTTTGTTGGTTTCTTTTGCCTTGCAAAAGCTTTTTAATTTGATGTAGTCCCAATTGTTTATTTTTGCTTTTGTTTCCCTTGCCTAATGAGACAGGTCTAAAATAATATTGCTAAGACTGAGGTCCAAGAGATTACTACCTTTTATTTTATTTTAGGAGTTTTATGGTTTTAAGTCTTACTTTTAGCTCTTTCATCCATTTTGAGTTTATTTTTGTGTGGTATAAGAAAGCAGTCAAGTTTCATTCTTTTGTATATTGCCGTCCAGTTTTCCAGCACCGTGTTGAGTGTTTTTTTTTTTTTTTTTTTTTAAAGATTCTCTTTGTTTATTTGAGAGAGAGTGGTCAGAGCATGCGCGGGGGGTGGGGTGGTGCTTGGCAGAGGGAGAGGGAGGAGGAGACTCCCTGCTGAGTGGGGAGCCTGATGCAGTGCTCAATCCTAAGCCGAAGGCAGACACTTAACCAACTGAACCACCCAGGTCCCCCTTGAAGAGACTGTCTTTTCCCCATTGTGTATTTTTGATTCTTTATCATAGATTAATTGACAATATAAGTGTGGGTTTGTTTCTGGGCTTCCTGTTCTGTTCCATTTGATCTCTAGGTCTTTTTCTGGAGCGGGTACCATAATGTTTTCATAGCTTTCTAGTATAGTTTGAAATTGGAGTGTGATTCCTCTAGTTTTGTTCTTTGTTCAAGATAGATTTGGCTGCTCATGGTCTTTCTTGGTTCCACATGTTTTAGGATTTTTTTTGTTGTTGTTCTAGTTCTGTGAAAAATGCCATTAGTATTTTAGTAGGGATTGCATTAAATCTGTAAATTGCTTTGAGTAATATGAACATTTTAACAATATCAATTCTTCCAGTCCATGAGCATGGAATATCTTTCCATTTATTTGTATCATCTTCAGTTTCTTTCATCAATGTGCTATAGTTTTTAGAGTATAGGGTTTTTTACCTCCTTGGCTAAATTTATTCCTATTTTATTTTTCTAATGCAGTTGTAAATGGGATTGTTTTCTTAATTTGTCTTCCTGTTAATTTGTAATTAGTGTATAGAAACATAATAGATTTCTGTATTTTAACTGTATTCCGCATCTTACTGAATTCACTTAGAGGTTTTTTATGGAGTCTTTAGGGTTTTCCATATAAAGTATCATGTCATCTGCAAATAGTGACAGCTTTACATCTTCCTTACCAATTTGGATGCTTTGTATTACTTGACTGATTGTTGTGGCTATGATTTCCTGTATTATGCTGAATAAAACTGACAAGAGTGGATATCCTTGTCTTGTTCCTGATCTTAGAGAATGGAGCACTGGGTGTTATACACAAGCAATGAATCAGGGAACACTACATCAAAAACTAATGATGTAATATATGGTGATTAACATAACATAATAAAATAAAATTTTAAAAAAAAGCTTTCAACTTTTACCATTGGGTATGATTTTAACTGTGGGTTCATCCTACTTGGGTTTTATTATGTTGAGGGATGTTTCTTCTGTACCCACTGTGATCTATTTAATGTATAGTTGAATATTGTTTGCTAATATTTTGTTGAGGATTTTTGCATCTGTGTTAATCAAGGCCTGAATTTTTTTGTGGCATCCTTTGAGAAAAGGATGTATCAGGGTAATGCTAGTCTCATGAGTTTAGAAGAGTTTGGAAGAGTTTCAGAAGAATTGGTATTAATTCTTGTTTGAATGTTTGGTAGAATTCGTCTGGTCCTGGATTTTTGTTTGTTGGGAGGTTTTTGATTACTGATACAATCTCCTTACTAATAATTTGTTCAGATTTTCTCTTCTCTGAAAATGTCTTTTAACCTCACATGATTCAATCTCACACGACTACCCTTTACTTCAGATGACAATTGCAAGTAGTATGTCCCCAGATTATTCAAAACTTCTGTCCAACTTGGCTATAAATTAGAGGTTAAGTGTCCCTTCTTGGACTTGATCATTTGCTAGAACAGCTCACAGAACTTAGGGAAAACTAACACTTAACCAGCTTATTATATAATAAAGGATATGATAAAGGATACAGATGAAGAACCAAATGAAGAGATACATAGGGCGAGGTCTAGAAGAGTCCCAAGTGCAGGAGCTTCTGTCCCTGTGGAGTTGGGGTGTGCCACCCTCCTGGTACATGCATGTGTTCATCAACCCAGAAACTCTCCAAACCCCATACTTTGGGGATTTTTATGGAGGCATCATCATGTGGTATGATCAATCATTAACTCAATCTCTAGCCCTTCCCCTTCTAGGAAGAGGTTGGGGGTAGGACTGAAAGTCTCAAGCTTCTAATCATGGCTTGATCTTTCTGTTGACCAACCTCTGTCCAGGGCCCACCAAAAGTCACCTCATTAGAACGAAGGTCATTTCTGTCACCCAGGAAAGTTCAAGGGATTTAAGAGCTCTATGTCAGGAAGTAGTATCAAAAACCAAATCCTAGAACAAAAGATGTTCCTAAGTACTCTTATCATTTAAAAAAATTACAAGGGTTTTAGGAGCTTTGTGCAAGGAACCAGAGATGGAGATAGGTAGATATTTTTTTCTGTTTCACAGTACGGGATTCTAGCTTGTCAGTTCTTTTCTATTAGCACTTTAAAGATATTGCTCTGCTGTTTCTGGCTCAGCAAGTGATCTTTTATGGTGACAGTTTCTGATGAGAAATATGCAGATATTTGAAGCATTGTTTTTATTCTCCTTTAAAGATAGCGACCCTGTCTTGGATCTTTTTCACCATTACCTAGCACATCTCTGATGTGTAGATGTACAATATATTTTTCTTGAATTTATTTTGATTGTATTACATCTTAAGCCTGTCTAGTCTTAATTTAATTAGGGTTCTATTTTGGCAGGATCAGAATTGCCCAACATGTATTATTGCCGTTAAACTTTACAAGATCCCTTCACTAGATATGAATAACCAGATGAAAGAAACCATTGCATTACTGATTTTTTGACATGTTTCTCTCCCAATTTTCCTTTGTTACCTGGCTTCCTTTCCATGTAAAAGGAAAAAAGGAGGCGGTAGATACTTATCAAAATTATTTGCTTCTCTTCTCTTTTGCATAGAAACTACTCATCACTTTATAAAATAATGGACTGTTAAGGGACATTCAGAAAACAATGAGCCAAAAAGTGTTCTGGGAGAGTTCTTTATTTTATAATATTAATCTTATGTTTAATATCTATAGAGAGAATTAAATACAGCAGAGATTTCCTGTTGAAGCTCTCGAGTGTTTCCATCTGCAGGAAAAAACCAGACTTTCTGCCTGATCATCCCATTGTACTTCAAAAACCAGTAAGTAGTTCTAATTTTGTATTAATTCTAAAATATTTGTCTTTAGTATTTTCACTGGATTCTCTCCCTAGATTTTAAATCTTATTGTGGAATATAATTCAGAAAAGTAGATAAATCTAAATGTATAATATAACCAATTACTGTAAGTAATTACCATGCTGGTCAAGAAATAGAATGGAATTCTATTTTAAGAAATACTTTTTTCCATTGAAAGATAGAGCCTAAAAGTTGTATTGTTTTTCATTTAAGTTCTGTAATCCATCTGCAGTGATTTTACTGTATGATGTAAGGTAGGGGTCAAGTTTTATTTTTTTCTACATGGATATCTAGTCATCCTAGCAATATTTACTGAAAGGACAGTCCTCTGCCACCTTTGTGGCAATATATGTGTGATCTGTTTCTGGGCCCTTTACTCTTCTCAGTTCGTCTTTTTATATAGTAAAGCAAGTCACCCCACTTATTCTTTGGTGTGTTTTTGCTGTTCTTAGTGCTTTATATTTGTATCACTGCATCAAATTTCATCAAAATAAATACAATAAATACACCTCTTTTAGCCCATTGATTGGAAACTGACAGGAGTTTTGGTATCAGGCTTGGGTTAAAATTATAGCTTCACCTTGTGTTCTAGTATACCGCTCAAACTTGTCACTTAACCTTGAACCTCAGTTTTGTGATTGCCGATGAGGTTGGATAATGTATAGAAGGACTTGGATAGTACTTAGCGTTCTCATTATGCACTTAGTAAATTGTCTATTTCCATTTTGACTAGAATTTAGAGTTTTCACACTTTTTTTATATGGGTAAAAGTATTCTATTGAGATGAACTCAGAATATAAGTATGCTGAGAGTGGCTCAAATAACATACCACCCGTGCTCTCCATTTTTGGGATTTCTAACCCTTTGGAATACAAAGCCTCTTTTCCTCTTAAAACTGCCTAACTTGTAGAACTTTTAAGCAGAAACTTAAGTTTCTTTCATAACCTTGCACACAGGAATATTTTATCATGAAAAATGTTAATGATGGGAAAATTTTCCCACCTGTTCAGAAAAAAATCTTAGGAGTATGTATGAATAAAGTTAACTTGAGTGCTATATAAAATATGGTCACTTTTTCATTTGCAGACTTATTTCATCTCTTTTATTTTGTAAATAAAATTTTGACATTATTTTGAACACGCCAGGTACCACAACAGCAGAACAGGTTTGGAATACAATCTAGTACATTTAAAAATGAATTACATATTTTTTAAACATAGAACTGTTTTGACAAATTCCAGTTACTTTAATACTTTCTATAGTAACATGCATTTAAGATCTGTAAACATTTAATAGGATCACAGTATTTGGTTTGATAAACTAAGTAGTAAAAACTGTATTCATTCAAATTAATTGATAAATTAACTTTTCTTCTATGTTACAGGAAAACCGCCAAAGTTTTAAGTAGCATTTTAAGAACAGATGAATTTGAAGATAAAGAATTATTCGTTTTCTATTTTGGACACCTGCAAATGAAGTGGATCTAGTAACAATAACTGTAATGGACTGTGACAATTCAGTTTATTTTTAATTTTGATGGTTGGGTATTTGGTTTCTCCTAAAATATTTTAAACTATAAAGAATTTTCTAATCAGTTGCAGCTTTGCAGGCAGTTTCCTGCATAAATTGGAAAGTAACACGGGAAAGTAAGAATTTGGTTAGTAAAGTGGGAAGGCTGTATTTATAATTTGCATGCTACTTGCAATTTTTTTTTTCATCTCTTGTAATAATGGAATGGAAATGTAAGCTGTAAAGATTCTCAAATATAAAGTATTTGCTATAATGTATATATGGCGCATAATTTCTTGTTGCTTTTAAAGTTGGCTTTTGTTCTGTTTTCCACTGATTTCCTACCAGCACTCTGAAAGGATCTTCACAATCTCTCCAGAGGCTTAAAATGACCCAGGATGTTCAATGCATAGTTCTCAATGACAGGAAGAATATTTTAATAGGTATTTCTTTGGTCTCCAGGTTTTTGATAAAATTATTTAAGATTCATAATTACTAGCAGAGATTGACAATTTGGAAACAATGAAACTTAAGGTGAAAAATAGCTGCTACTTGTTGTCTGTAATCAGACCCCATGAACAGAAGTTGGGCAATTGCAAAATAAAACTGATATTTTTATTTCCAAAAGAGGAAAAATTTAGGCATTTGCAAATAACTGAGGTACATTGTTTCAATTCTATAATTTCTTATGACAAGAACATGTATGGATGAAGAATTTGGGGGCTAAACTTTTAGCTCCTAGAAATTTTATATAAAATTTCCTGCATTTTGTCACTCTGGATGTTACTATTGAAAAAAAGTTTCTTCCAGCATAGTGTCAAAAAAAAATTGCTGATATAAAGGTAAGTGTAAACTCTCCCTACTTCTATTGTCTCAGATCCCCAGGTCTACTGGCAAGGCATTCAAGACCATCATTTGGCAGAAAGTTTATGATAAACTGAATTCTGAACTCCTAAAACCACCGGTCTTTGGGCTTGTTACCTGGATTCAGGCTTTAGTCCATGGTAGGCTTCCCATTTTGGTCTTTTAGTACACTACTTTTCATTACTTTGTTCCCCCCCAAATTTTTTTTTAAATAGGGAAAAAAAATACAGTAAAACCATAAATTTACGGGTTACTTAAAAATGATACATTTAAACCTAGGGCCCAGATTTTTCATTTATTTTTTGTCCTATTTTCCCTTTATATTATTGTAGGTTCCAGTGTGTATATATGTATATATACACACACACAATTTATGTATAATTTGTATAAGAGCTGGAGCCAGTATTAACATAATTAAATTGGTTTGCTTTATTATTTACCTATTCTCAAAATTTTTTTTTTACTCTAGTTAAAAAAACGATGATAGAACCTATTCCAGTTTGGAATCTAAAGAGCCCTTCCACTCAGCACTGTTACTGAGGGCAGAAACCTTTTTAAAGTCATACCACCATTGTACTTTGGAAACTGCCTCACACTTAAAAGACTTAGGTACTTTCTGAATCTAATATTTAAATATGTTTTGATTGGCTATAATTTGTATTTTTTGAAACCATTCATAACCAACCCTTTCAAGAAGAGTTTTATGTCAAAAGTCACTGTATATAATCAGAGTGAGATTGCAAAGACTGTTATATTATCTGTTTACCTTTGTACATATGTATAGCTTGTTTGAATAATCATTGTACATCTCCATTAATGTTCTCTGCTTTGTATATAAATTAAAAGAGTTGAGCCAGGTGTTGTTTCATAGTGTTTGTCATCTTTAGAAATGACCAGAGACAGACAGATATATATATACACACACACGCTTTTGTGTCTGTGTGTGTGTATATGTCAAAATTTACTGCCCTTGTCTCGTAGAAGCTATGAAAACAATTTTTACTTAGATGGATGAGGACCGAGGGGTATACAAAGGTATACCTTTGATTAAGCTAATATTCCATAAATTCGTTTGAGAAAATATTTTAGGTCAGATTTTATATTTAAAAATATAATTTAGTTCAACCTTCTGAGTTTTCCCAACAGTAAAAAAAAAAAAAAAAAAAAAAAAAAGTTTTTCCTTGAAGACCTGTGGTTTCAAAGGAATTTGGACTATAGAATAACATGGTAACAAACTTCATATGCCCTGGATTTTTATTAGCAGCATTTATCAGAAGACATTTTATTAAAAATATATGAGCTTGTATAGCAAATATATTAGGTACACAGAACACACCAACTGTTCTGGTGAAACTAGAATTGTCATTCTAGTGTTGAAATTGGAAAAAAGTTTTCTGTCTAGTACCTTTCCTATTTTATTACTTCCTTAAAGTTTTGTGCTTGTTTTATATTTCTTGTTTGTTTACTGAGGTTAAAATTTTATTATTTAAATATTTTGAAATTATTATTTAAATGCAAATGTCTATTTTTCATAAGAAAATTAGTCCTCTGGATCATATGCCAAAAAATTTGAATCAGATTTTCTGAAAGTAAAATTCTGTTTTCTTGATTTGTTGAACTTACATATAAGGGAATTATGATGCTAATAAATGATATAATGGTGTTACAGTACTAAATGGTACCCTACCACAGAATTGTTCACTTGTGAAAAACCAGTTTATAACCTGATAGGTATATAGAGTCTATAGATTACAGCCAAGACTGTTGTATGCTCATGTATTAACATTTTTTTTTTTTTAGCTTAAACAACAGAAAAGTGTTTTCTTACAGTTCTAGAGACTGGAAGTCCAAGATTAAGGTGCTAGCAAGGTTGATTTCTTCTGAGGCCTCTCCTGGCTGGCTGTTGGCACCTTCTTTCTGTGACCTCATGTGGCCTTTTCTCTGTGCACTTGCTGTCGCTCTCTCTGCACATAAGGACACCATTTTGGGTCACATACTAGCTTTTTCAGTAAAGTGAATACTCATAAGATCATGAGTTGGGAATGGAGTGAGCACTACCAAAGAATAAAGTTCATTCACAGAAAATCAGTTACTTAAAAATGACAAAACACTGATTTAATCTTGATAGTTTATGACAAATCTACAAAAGCTATAGCCTATGCAGTGATACTCTAAAAGTTTCCACTTCAATTATTTTTTATCATTTCTTTTTCACAATTTTTTTCCTTTATGTGTACTTTTTTTTACATATTAGGATTTTGCCACTAAAGGGTTTTAGGTTACAATGTAGCAAAACAGCAAAAATTGAGAATAGTTAACTTCAAAAATTTAGCTAAGCTTCACATGAAAGATATAGAAGACATTTTAGAAGAGTGCACATCTTAAATATATTAAAAGTATAGAGTAGATTAGTAACTGCAGAGAATTTTCTAATTCACATTTTAGATAAGAATACTTGTTTTGCACTTAGAACCATAAAGAAAATGTCTAGGAACATCTAGTTGTTCAGGATCCACCATGAAGCTGAAAAGAGAAAAACAACTATTATTAAATGAAAATAATTGCCAGGGTAAGTTAGTTCAAGGTGTAATCATTCTTAAAGAGACTATTTTCTCCCACCTTTAGTCTGCATAATTATCCTTCAAGTTAGTCACTATTTCCTATTTGAACCAAGATTGAACTCTTCCTATGCAATACTTGTACTAGATCTTTTGGCACTTGGTCATAGTCTATTTTGTTTATGAATGGAGCTTATCTTGGCAATGAGATTATAAACGCCCTGAAGATGAAATCATGTTGTTTTAATCTACCCAGTACTGGCAGCAGTTTGGGAATGTAAGATACTTTTACGTAACAATTTCAGAAAGATTGGGTATAAGCACGTGGATGTGTTTTAAATATTTTTTGGTATATATTGTAAGATTGAAAATGTTTTCACCAGTGAATATAAATATCCCAAAGACAAATCTATGGCAAAGAAGTAAGACTGGTGGAATGCTGTGAGAAACAGACAAATGGAAAGGATTGAAATTTGTTTGCAATTTAAGAGATATACTGGTTGGCAATAGATCTTAACTTTCTTGTGTATCTTCTTTTCTCATAGCCAAGGCCTTTCTCATTTGCCAAGGGATATTCTGCTCCACAGACTGAATTCTTCATATTTTGGCCTGGGGGTTTTATTATGATGGCTAGTGGGCCTGTTTGGCTGTACTCCATTATGTCTCATTTGAATGATTTTGATATTTGAGAGTCCATAGGAATATATTTCTTAAGATATTTCTTAGGTAAACCACTTAGAAACTTAATAAAAAAAGCAATCTTATCAGAAATCATAATTTGTGAGTTAAATTAAAAATACAAACCTACCCATCTGTATAATAGGTATTTTTTTTCACATTTTTATTTTAGGTCTAAATATGTACAGTTGAAATGCTTTTGTTTTTATTTTAGCTTTCATATAACAAAATTCATAAGACTGGTTACTAAAAATATTAGAAGTCATATGGCCATTAAAACTTTAATATTTATAAGCTAATTCCAGCTGTCTGTCCAGGGAGGTGGTCTGCTGTTGCTATTTATAAAACTTTCACATTAAAAAAAAAAAAAGAATAGGATGCCCCAAATAGGTGTTAGAAATCAAACCTATCTTTTCTTTTTGTTCTTCCAAATTTCAGTGGTCACTTTTGAAATTAGATGTGATAAGAAAATTAATGCAAAATAGGGTAACAAAAAAGGCATTAAACTGCATTGAATTTGGGTTCTGAGAATAAGAACTGATCCAATATTATTTGTGCCCAACTTTTCTCTCTAAATTAGGGAATACTGTGAGAGAGAAAGAATAATAGAAAAAATTCAGCCATATTAATGGTTTTCTTATTTGAGGATTAAATCAGAGATATTCAGCAGGAGAAATTTTGCAAGTCCACAAATCTGTCCTTAAGAGCTAGAGTAAGTATATACTTAAAGCTCAGGCAGAGATGATAGGTCTGCTGACTGGAAAGCATTCACACCTGATCTCCCCCATTTCACCTACCTTCAATTCCAGAATTTATCTTTTCACTTTCCATTTATTCCCCAATCCATCAAAATCTACCCCAATTTTTAAATTCCTACCACTGTATTGAAACTGTTCTCTTGAACAGTGACCTCTTGTCAAATCCAGTTTTCAGTCCCATTCTCTTCAGTCCCACCCCACTACACAGGCCCCTGACAAGCACTGTGCCTTGCACGGTTATTTCTCTTTTGGTTTCCTTGCTTATCTACTACTCTGATTCTCCACCTCTGAGTGGTTCCCCTCTGTCTCCTTAATAAAGGAGGCTTTTCCCTCCCTTTTATTTTTTTTTATTTTTTATTTTAAGATTTTATTTATTTATTTGAGAGAGAATGAGAGAGAGCACATGAGAGGGGGAGGGTCAGAGGGAGAAGCAGACTCCCTGCCGAGCAGGGAGCCCAATGCGGGACTCGATCCAGGGACTCCAGGATCATGACCTGAGCCGAAGGCAGTCGCTTAACCAACTGAGCCACCCAGGCGCCCTCCCTCCCTTTTAAATAAAGGCATTTTCCTAGGCTTCTGTCAGGTATTTTTTTTTTTTTTTTACCTATACCCTTTCTCACTAAATTCAGGCTTCAAATATCAACTTGCCGTGGTTAACTCCTGAAAACTGTATTGGCAAGGGAACTCTCTGGGTAGCTCCTGGTTCAGGTGCCTTTTTTTTTCCTGGCCTAGATTATTGCCCTACCTGACCAAGTCTCTCACCTCTCCATGATACTCACCTTTCTCCCTCCTGCCAATTACTACTGATTAGAGCATTCACTACCCCTCTCAAAAATCTTTAATGATTCCTTATTACTAAGTTTAAACTCATTGTATTTTCGACCTCATTTCCTACACTCTTCTCTCTCTACAGGTAACATATAAGCCCTATGCCTTAGTCTTACCTTTGCACCAATTAGCCAAGAACATTTAACATTTCTTGCATTTGTTCATGTCTACAATTTATTTCTAGCAAAGTTTCCTCCATCTTTATTTGCCCAACTCACATTTTAAGTTCCAGCTCCAGAGTCATCTCTTTTTAAAAAACTGTTAAAGAAGCAAACCCTTCTCTAAATCCACATGCATATTATAAACAGCAGTAACTATTGAGCTTGTTTTTTTTCTGCAAGCATTTGTCTTTCCTACTGAACAGAAAGCATTTTATGGGAAGGGACTAAATTTTTACTTTGCATTCTCTCTAGCTCCCGACATAATGTTTATTCAAAATGGAACTCAGCACTAGTAAGGCTAAGCACCCCAGTATCCCCAGTACCTAGCTCATAAAACACTCATTAAATATATTTAATTGGTGACTGGAAGGGTAGATGAAAAAATGAATTTTGGTTCTCAATTATCTTAAGCCTTGGCCAGGCCAGACTTCTTAGACAATTTCATTTCAAATTTCTCTTTCCACTCTGCTTTCCAATTACAAATAATATTTTAATAGCTATTAAAATATTTCCAGCATAATTCTAATCTGCAGTCTATAGGTCACACATTTCAAATTTATTCAATATACTAAATTATAATATGGTAAAGCATTTGAATAATTTTTTTGGAAATGTCCTGATTTGACTTCAAGTTCGTTAGATTACTGAATGTGACCAGAAAAGGACTAATATTAAGTTTAATATAGTCAGGAATACAAACAGGATCAACTAAGGAGTAAAGATAATAGAATATATAGATCTCTTATTTCTTCCCCCCACTTTTAGATTTTAAGATCTAATAAAGAGAGCACCACTGATCAAGTTTGGGGGTAAGAAAATACTATCTTTTAAAAAGCAAAAGACAATACAAAAGCATATAGAAGCACTGTGAAACCAGGATAATTACCAGGAACTAGCATAGTAGATGTGAGTTCTGGAGTTTCCAAGAAATCCACGTTGCTTCTTTGGAATGTCTTGCTATAATTCGTCTGAAGGTGGCTGTATAAATAATTATAGGTTAAGGTTGTACACTTTTATTACAATCTTTCTAAGTAGAGTGCAACAGAGTTTGAATTCATCAAGATGGCAAGGTTTTGGATGATTTGGATTAAGTGTCTGAATATAGACTTCTTTTTCTGGTTATTTAGCCTTAAAAGTAATTTAACAATTGTCATCAGAAAAAAAACTTCTTAAAGACTTTTAAAAACAGAAGAACATTAATCCCGTGGAAAATAGAACAAAAGGAGAAAGACTTTAATTACAGAAAGAAGTTTAAACAGAAGAAAGAATATTTTGGCTGTCCGGATGATTAAAAAAATAGGATAGCTAAGAAGAGAGACTATAGATTTTCTCTTTCTAGGGAAAAAAAAGAAAAATCATCTATCTTAAAGTGTAGGCCTGGAGTACAAAATTGAGTAAGTTGCCTTTAAAGCTCCCTTCTGTGTTTGAAATTCTATTGGTGTCATTATGTATTATAGTTTTAAAATAGTCACAAAAAACTTTTAGGTGAAATATGTATAACTAAATTTCCAGGTATTCTATTACTTGTACAACATGATTTGATACACATTACATACCGTAGAATAGTTACCAAGAGATGTTGATTTTTTAATCGTTTCCAAACAATGTCTTTAATTTCCCCCCCCCCTTTTTTTTGCAGTTTAAAGACATTAAGCTATAATGGTCTTAACCGTTATATATAGTTCTAAAGTAAAATACCACAGAATCTATGAAAAATTAGAAAGTAAAATTTTCTCATCCTTCCTTTTCTGTGTCCTTTGTCCACCCACCCTCCTGACACTTTAGACACCCACGACCCATATCTAACTCTTACTTGAAAGCATCAGTAAAATGGTTATAGTTAAAGTAGGATCATTATCAAAAGTATTTGTGCTTTAAGAAGAAAGTGGTTTCTAATCCATGAGATAAATTCCTAAAAGGGTGGGACTTAGGAAAACGAACAAATGGGACAGATTTTAAGGTGAGGTAAAAGGAACAGAGCTTTTCCTACAAGTTCTAAAAACATTACATATATTTCCCTCTCCCTGCCCCCCCCCCAAAAGCCTGTTATTACTTACCTATTCCACACACTGCTGTTCTCCCAAAACTCATAAATTATGTACCGAGATTCATTGGAAAGCTTCTGTATGGAAATACTGAAATGGAAAGGAAAAAGCGTAAGTAGCCACAGGAAATTAAAGACAAGAAGAAACTAATTTTTCTTTTTTTAAAAAGATTTTAGTTATTTTAGAGAGTGCAAGCAAGCTCGAGTGGAGGGAGAGGCAGAGGGAGAGAATCTCAAGCACGGTTCACGATGAGCAAGGAGCCCTACATGGGACTTGATCTCACAACCCTGAGATCATGACCTGAGCTGAAATCAAGAGTTGGATGCTTAACTGACAGCCACACAGGTGCCCTAAGGAGAAAACTAACTTTTCTAGGGGCGCCTGGGTGGCTCAGTCATTAAAGCGTCTGCCTTTGGCTCAGGTCATGATCCCAGGGTCCTGGGATCGAGCCCCACATCGGGCTCCCTGCTCCGCGGGAAGCCTGCTTCTCCCTCTCCCACTCCCCCTGCTTGTGTTCCCTCTCTCGCTTTGTCTCTCTCTGTCAAATAAATAAAATCTTAAAAAAAAAAAAAAAACTTTTTAAATCATCTCTGTATGTGGTATGAAACAAGCTTACATATTCATATTGGAAACACCTATGGTGCCTGCATGAAAATGAAAGTTTTGTGAAGAAGTGATTAGTTCAATGTCTGTATTGTTTGACATTTTTTAATTTTCTGGTTTGGCATCATGAAAATCATCTCAGTATATTATAGACATCACAAATACAACTTCTGTAAAATTTCATTCATTCAAAAGATTATCTGTTGTGTTATGGTTCCAAAAACTTGAGTGCATGCCACTGCCCCTGCCCTCAAGTGCAGCTCTTTGAATCCTGTCTGCCTCCATAGCTCTTTCCAAATTCCTGGCCTTATCTCTCCTTGGATAGACTGCTGCAAGGCTTCTGGTTTGCCAGTGCCCATGGTTCATTCTCTCTCTCTCTCTCACACACACACCTCAATTTTCTCTCCCGACTTTGAGAGTCCACATTCTAGCCATAATTGTAGTTTTTTCTTTGTGTGCTTTTCCAATTTAGGGCAAATTTGTTCCTTGCAATTCTCTGACCAGCCTGAGAATGGCTAAAAGGCTATGCAATGTGTTTTGGAGGAGTTGGATTGGGGGTGTGCTGAAAAGACCCATTGGGGTGAAGGCTGGATTTAATCCTGGAGCAATAAAGAACCATGGAAGGATTTAAAACAGGGAGGTATCAGGGTTAGAGGTGGGTTTTAAAAGATCCTTCTGATGGTGGTGTGAGGTATCCCATGGAGAATAGTCAATAAAACACAGGAAGAAAAGCTAGAAAGGTCATGAAATCGCTTAGGTGAGTGATGACAAAGATCCAAATTAAGGTAGAAAGGAGAAGGGGAGAGATTTATAAATTTAAGGGAGACTGGGAGACAAATATAAAGATGCCTTTAAAAAATTAATTCCAGGGACTTCCAGGGAAGATGGTGGAGTACGAGGACCCTAAATTCACCTTGTCCCACGATAGAACTAGATGACAGCCACCTCAGTATAAGTAATTCAGAAAATGACCCATAGACTGGCAGAACAGATTCTCCATAGCTAAATGTAGAGAAGAGATCACATCTAACTGTTGGGAGCTACAGGGACCGTTGGACTGCCGGCAGAGGGGAGGGACACATAGGGGTAGAGGAGAGAGAAACAGACCCTCACAGTGGGAAGCCTGCAAGGGGAAGATGAATTTGGCTTTGAAAATCAGAAGGGCCAAATTTCATGAGTTCTTACAACCAGTGGGTCTTAAAACTTAGAATGTAAAAAATCAGCAGGGTTGGCTCTGGGAGAGCCTGGAGGGATTCTGAATCCCTACCCTTAAAGAGCACAACAAACAGCCCCATGAAGATACAGGATAGAAGCAGCAGTTTGAAAAAATGCCTGGAGTATACTTGTTTACTAATTTCAGGGCATGTGCTGGAGGGGCAGGGATCATTGGCAGACTTCTCCAGGAACACAGGAACAGGCAGGTGCCGTTTCCCTTCCCTGATCCCCAGTATAAATGCACAGCCACCTGTGGGAACCAGAGCAGCATGGACAATCCCTACGTAACTTGCTAATACTGTGCATCCTGCCCAGCCCCACCCCCCCTGCATCCCTGCACTTAGGCAGATCCACCCTCTCCAACTTGGCCTGTCTTGGTTCTGGTGGCTGCAGGTCCTTCCCACAGCAGACCAGGACAAACCTTGCTAACACCACACATCCAGCCCCTGTTCGGCAGATCTGCCCCCTCCTAGATGCTCTTGGCCAGAGCCCATCCAAAGCAGAGCCATAAGCTTGGCTGTGTACAAGCAGCTCTGAGAGGCCAGCACCACTCAGTGACGCCTGCCCCTGGGAAAGGGGGAGATAACCACATACACACCAGTCCAACTACAGCCCTAGCAGTGGGCTGAGGGCAGACGTCTGGTCTGACTGCAAGCCCTGCTCAACAATGAACAAAAACTTCTCGGGAGACAAAACAGTGAAAGTGCCCTGCGTTCAGTGCTACTATATTTCTGGCAAATGTCTGGTCTGACTCAACTCAAGCCCAAGGCAGCCCAAGACTGGCTCACTAACAGCACAGGGACCAGACTACTGCTGACAACAGGCTAAGAGAGCCATTGCTGATGACTGGACTGAAGGAAAAAGTGGCTCAGTCACAATAGCAGTGTGCACGAAACACAGGAGACACACCCTTGAAGTGCCAGTTCAGGTGAACAAGGGACACTGCAATGGAGGGCACTACAGGACCTCTTCTTCATAAGGCCACTACTTTCAGGAGCAGGAGACAGAGCTGACTTTCCTAATACATAGTAACAGACAGAGACAAATGAAGAGACAGAGGAACGCACCCCAAATGGAAGAATAGGACAAAATCACAGCAAGAGGCCTAACTGAAATGGAGATAAGTAATATGCCTGATGGAGAATGTAAAGTACTGATCATAAAGATACTTACCGGATATGAGAAAAGAGTGGAGGACATCGGTGAGACCCTTAACAGTGAGACAGAAAACATAAAAAAAATAATTAGAAATGAACTCAATAAATGAAATAAAAATACACTAGATGGAATAAGGAGACTAGAGGATGCAGAAAAACAGACCAGTGACTTGGGAGGACAGTAATGGAAAGCAATCAAGCTGAACAGGAGAAAGAAAAAAATAATACAAAATGAATATAGACTTAGGGATCTCAGCAACACCATCAAGTTTACTAACATTCACATTATAGGGATCCCAGAAGTAGAAGAGAGGGAAAACAGGGCAGAAAATTTATTTGAATAAATAATAACTGAAACCTCCTGATTCTAGGGAAGGAAACAGATATCCAGATCCAAAAAGCACAGAAAGACCCTAATGAAATCAACCCAAGAAGGTCCACACAATGACACATAATAATTAAAATGGCAAAAAGTAGTGAGAGAGAATTTAAAAGCAGCAAGAAAAAAAGAAAACAGTTATATATAAGGGAAACCACACAAAGCTATGAGCTGATTTTTCAGCAAAAAGTTACAGGCTGGAAAAGAGTGGTGTGATACATTCAAAGTGCTGAAACAAAAGAATCTGCAGCCAAGAATACTCTATCCAGCAAGGCTATCATTCAGAATAGAAGGAGAGAGAAAGAGTTTCCCAGACAAAAGCTAAATTTATTACCATTAAACCAGCCGTACAAGAAATGTTAAAGGGGACTCTCTGAGTGGAAAGCAAAGACCATAAGTAGGAGTAAGAAAAGAAGCACAAAAGAGTAAAATTAAGTACATATGTAAAAACTGGTCAAGAGACTCACAAAAGGTTGTAAAGTATGGCACCATATACCTAAAATTTGGGGGTAGACAACTAGGATAAATGGATAAATTCCTAGAAACAGAACTTCCCAAAACTGAAGAAGAAAGAAACAGAAAATTTAAACAGACTGATTACTAGCAATGAAATTGCATCAGTAATCAAAAAACTCCAACAAACAAAAGTCCAGGACCAGATGGCTTCATAGGTGAATTCTACCAAACATTTAAGGAAGAGTGAATACCTATTCTCAAACTATTCCAAAAAAATAGAAAAGGAGGCAAAGCTTCCAAATTCATTCTATAAAGCCAGTATTACCCTGATACCAAAACCAGATAAAGATACTACAATAAAAGAGAATAAAAGAGAACTACAAACCAATATCTCTGAAGAACATAGATGCAAAATTCCTCAATAAAATATTAACAAACCAAATCCAACAATATATTAAAAAAATCATTCACCACAATCAAGTGGGATTTATCCCTTGGATGCAAGGGTGGTTCAAAATTTCACAAATCAATCAATGTAAATATACCACATCACTAAGAAAAAGGATAAAAACTATATAATCATTTCAATAAATGTAGAAAAAGCATTGACAAAGGACAGAACCCATTCATGATAAAAACTCTCAACAAAGTAGGTTTAGAGGGAACATACCTCAACATATATGAAAAACTCACAGTGAACATCATACTCAATAGGGAAAAACTGAGAGCTTTCCCCCTAAGATCAGGAATAAGACAAGGATGTCCACTTTCACCATAGTACTATTTCAACTTAATAGTACTGAAAGTCCTAGCTACAGCAATCAGACAACAAAAAAGGAATAAAAAGCATCCAAATAGTAAGGAAGGAGTAAGACTTTCACTATTTGCAGATGACATGATACTATATACAGAAAACCCTAAAGACTCCACCAAAAAACTGCTAGAAGTGATAAGTGAATTTAGTAAGGTCACCACAGGATAGAAAATCAACAGAGAGAAATCTGTTGCATTTCTATACACTAATAATGAAGTAGCAAAAAGAAAAATTTAGAAACCAATCCCATTTACATCAAAAATAAAATACATAGGAGTAAACTTAACCAAGGAGGTGAAAGACCTGTACTCTGAAAACTATAAAACACTGACAAAAGAAACTGAAGGTGCAAACAAATGGGAAGACATTCATGCTCATGGATTGGGAACACCAATATTGTTCAAATGGCCATATTACCCAAAGCAATCTACAAATTTAATGCAATCCCTGTCAAAAGACCATTAGC